CACTGGTCTCTTTAAGTCATATGACAGAAACATAAAATATTAGGGAGACCATTTTTTTCATATATTTTTAGGAGGCATTTATAATGAAAAAATAAAGCAAGAGTCGACTAAATGGTGTTCTATAGAACATTGATCTGGTATTTCTTTTTAGAAAAAAGCAAATTTAAAAAATCTGTATATTGTCTCCTTAAGCCATATATAATGGTCTGGTCTCCCTAGTCCTTAAATCAGAGTTATATATATATATATATATATATATATATATATATATATATATATATATATATATATATATATATGAGTAAATGGAGAAGAGAAACGGATAGTCATTGCAAATTATGCCATGTGCACGAAACTTCAAAACATCTCAGTTTTGTATGTAAAAAATATATTGAAATATGGAGCAAATTAAGTCTTTAGTTGAAGATAGATATCATATGGAAACATTTAATGGTTTAACTAGTTTTGAACCTAATAACTTTTGAGCTCGAATACTGTTGTTATCTCCACATATTTCATCCTAGTTCCTCTAAATCACAATGTACATCACTCAATGCACTTATCTCCTATGTTGCATTACAAACATTAGATAATGTGACAATATTGACTTAAAACAATCTAAAGCAATAGAAACATGTATATGTCTAATATACTAAATATTAATTCATATGTTAAATAAGTATTATGGGTTTCATCTCTGTGAAATTATTAATGATCAAAAGATACTGTGTTCAAGTCCTATGAAATAGTCTTTAATCATTTTTTTATTTAACTGTTTAAAGACAATGAAGTATTAATTATCTGAGATCACTGTTGCTTACTTAGATGAGGAAAATACATGAAAATAAAGTGTTCAATTAATTTATCTAGGATTAATAAAATGTTAAGAAGTATTGAATTATTCCCTATTGAGAAATACATTGTGGACTTAAATTCATTTCATTTTGGATAGAAGGGCATTAGAAGTCTTTAGTGTGAAGTGGATAGAGGGTCTTTAAAAACAGCAAATGTATTGTAATGAGAAATGAATGAATGATACAATGGGCCTGAACCTTCCAAACACTCATGCGACTAGGACTGATGGACTACTCAGTAGTCTAAAATCCTGTTTATCTTTGTTTAGATTACCCTTTACTATAAAAAGACGGCATCATATGTTAAAAAGAAATCTGATGCAGAAGTCAGAAACAGTACAATAGAGATTCTGAATGTAAACCGTTAAAGAGATAACAGTGAAAAGCTAAGGTCGAAGTACACAGAACTGGTAAAAAGTTAACCTACAAGTTGTAGAGATGCTCTATAAGAGTAAGACTCCGCATACTCACAGAACTTAGTTTCAGAACCCGGTGCAAGGTACCAGGCCAGATAATTTATTACTCTGAAGAACAAAACCTCTGCTTTTGTCCCTGTGTTAAGAAAAATGGAACTCAAGTATCCTGGTAATTCTAGAAATTGATAATCTTTGTAAATAATATTGATTCCCATTCCTTAATTTTTAACTCAAGTAAAGCCAGAGGAAAATTACATCTATATTCATATTTACATTGATAAGACCATCTATCGCCTGATAATTAAGCATTGAATCTTTATTTTTTGAAAGATATAGTCTCATAACTGCAACTGTGTGTGCAAACAAATTGAGTAACACGCGTTATGAAAATTTGTTTGCACACACCGTTGCAGTTATGAGACTATATCTTTCAAAAAACAAGAGGCCCATGGGCCACAACGCTCACCTGAGTCAATATGGTCCTGCTGTTTTTCGTCAGCAGATTTCGTCTCCTATATATTCATATGTAAAGCTTTGGTCACCTGTTCTAGGCATATCCTACCCACAGGTGTCATGTTTTGAATGAAATTGAATCTAAACTTTCTGAGGATGCTTCTATATCCATATAACTAATCATAGCTTTGTTGTTCTTGAAAACAGTTTTAAAGATGTCTGCCACCCTACCCGGGGGAAGGGGTGGGGGTCATGATTTGAACAAACTTGAATCTACATTACCTGAGGATGCTTCCATATCAATATGACTAATCATGGCTTTGCTGTTCTTGAGAATGAGATATTTCCTATATATGTTCTTTTGTAAAACTTTGATCCTCCTTTAAGACCCCACCCTACTACTCGAAAATGCCTTGAACAAACTTGAACCTGCACTACCCAAGGATGATTCCATATCAATATGACTAATTGTGGCTTTGTTGTTCTTGAGAAGAAGATTTTTCAAGATTTTTTTTCTATATATTTCTATGTAAAACTTTGATCCCCCATTGTGGCCCCACCCTACCCTCGGGGGAAGTGATTTGAACAAACTTGAGTCTACACTACCTGAGGATGCTCCCACGCGGGTATGTTAAGGCTACACCCAGAAATATCCTACTTGCCTTCACAATATGACGTCATAGTAAGCTGTATGACGTGAACTATAGAAATAATGATTTCTTAATATCTATCTTTAAAGTTTAATTTCAGGTCCAAGAAAAGAATGGAATCATTCAAAACATAACATAAACTAAATCTTGTCGTTTTTGGGTGGTATAAATAGCTAATTATTTAGCACGGGGGTTAAATACCAAACCCATGACGTCATAACTATTGATCGAGTGAAATGAGAATTCATGTAAACAAAAATATGAAATGGGAGTTTTAAGGCATATACCATGAATGTTATGTGTGATTCAAAAGGAATTAAAGATTAAGAATCGGGTACGCTGATATATTCTTATCATGTTTTCTTATAATGAACATAGTCAGTGCTTTGAAATCCCGATCAGCCGTTCCTCTGTCGTTCTATAACAACAAAGATGCAAAATTTCAACACTACGCCGCATACTTTGAAATATAATTTTTGTTTGTATCGAAAGCTTGTATTCTATAGTACTTGGAAAGTGCTGCTAGAATCGTGTGGTTAACATGAATTGATAAAAATTCCTTGATCGTATGTATAAAATGTAAAAATTTTGGTAAGGTTTCATGCGAAACTTTAGAATATTTTTTCGGTGTCAGGAGAGTAGGATTCTAGCAGCACTTTTCATGGCCCAGTGATGTTTTTACATAATTATTTTCACTAAAAGAAATGAATTATCTCCGGGGTAGTGTTGAACTTTTCACTTTTTCATTAAGGCAATTTATCTATTTATAGACGTCACGTGATGACGTCGTAGTGAGTGCTTCTTTTAGCCTAAGACTCAATGACGTCTATACAATGGATAATAATAGTAAATGTTTTATCTATGGTTTTTCCGATTTATCAATGTTACATTTTACGAAAAAAGTCTAAATTCGCCGAAATATGATCTGGGTACTGCCTTAACATACCTGCGCTTATCAATATGACTAATCATGGCTTTATTGTTCTTGAGAAGATTTTTAAAGATATTCCTATATATGTTCTTTTGTAAAAGTTTGATCCCCCGTTATGGCCCCACCCTACTACAGGAGGATGCCTTGAACAAACTTGAATCTACAATGCTTTGGGATGCTTCCATATTAATATGACTAATCATGGCTTTGCTGTTCTTGAGAAGATTTTTAAGATTTTCCAATATATTCCTATGTAAAACTTTGATCCCTCATTGTGGCCCCATCCTACCCCAGGGGGTCATGATTTGAACAAATTTGAATCTACACTACCTGAGGATGATTCCATATCAAAATGACTAATCGTGGCTTTGCTATTCTTGAGAATAAGATTTTTCCTATATATTCCTATGTAAAACTTTGATCCCTCATTGTGGCCCCACCCTACCCCAGGGGGTCATGATTTGAACAAATTTGAATCTACACTATGTAATAAAGGTTTCACATTAGTTTCAACTTTTTCAGTTCAGTGGTTCTTGAGAAGAAGATTTTTAAAAGATACCACCAAATTCTTAATTATCTCCCCTTGAAAGAGGGCGTGGCCCTTCATTTGAACAAACCTGAATCCCCTTTACCCCTTTACCCACGGATGCTTTGTGGCAAGTTTGGTTGTAATTGGCCCAGTGGTTATGGAGAAGAAGTTGAAAATGTGAAAAGTTTACAGACGGACAGACAGCTAGACAGACAGACGGACAGCTAGACAGACGGACGACGGACAAAATGTGATCAGAAAAGCTCACTTGAGCTTTCAGCTCAGGTGAGCTAATAATGATTCAGTGCTTATATTTACATTTTTTAACTCCTTGCCGTGATTGCAAAGGTGTTTTTAATTTCAAAATCCCTGTATTATCCTTCGGGTAAGTTACATTTAATGGAAGAGCCGTTGCAACAGCTTCTGTTCAATGTGAGCGTGAAATTTGATTTTCGCTTATGACGTTGCACCTCCACGGCGTTAAACGTTTGTGACGTTAAAATAAAACGCATACTTTAACCTTTTGACCCCCTGTCCGTGTTATGGTGTTTTGAATGCCGTAGCCTTCCTCATACTTTATAAGCAAAATACATGTTGAATGTAAATATAGAATATTTAGGTTACACCTTACAGTATTTTACCACGTTAAAAAAATCATGTTATGTACAATGTTATTTTTTCAGAACTGTAAAGAATGCAAATTATTCGAAAAATGTACACTGCAAGTAACTTAATTTAAACAATTTTGCTTACAATTTTCAGGAAAATCTTTCATTTTGAGACCTTGTCAATTGCCCACAACAGACATTTTAGAGTTGTCAATGTTAGGTGTCTGATAATCAAAAAGGCAAAATGAACCAGTATACCTGAGATCTGTGATACTTAAACGGAATTGTAACCCAAGTGTCGTCATTAGCAAAGACTTGTGCACTTTTTGTAGTCATTATAGTTGCACCTTTGTAATATATTTGCTGAATTAGTACGTTATTCTGTGTGACATATTTGCTGCAATAGTACGTTATTCCGTGTGACATATTTGCTGTATTAGTAAGTTACTTTATATGACATGTTTGCTCTATTAATACGTTATTCTGTACTTGGTCAAACAAGAGGTCACAGCCCAAGGAGATAATAAACAGCTGTTTACATGGTAAATGTCCACTCACTATGATCACCACTGTCTATAATATAATTTTCTTGAGTGCAGGTAATCATTTCTTTTAAATATTTTAGGGATAAGATAGAGTATGAAAATGAAAAAAAGGATTAAATTTTCATTACTGATAAGATTTATTTGTTTTGAATTTGAAAAGAATTGTTTACTTTAACAAGTGATACATTGTAAAATAAAACTTATTTTCTGTCCCAATGATCTGATTCTCCATGGATCTTCTAACTTTTCAAAGATTCTCAATGAAATTAAATGGCAGCAGTGTGAAGGCATTTAATTCAAAAACAATGTGTAATGCTATCATCAACATATTTTATTTATTATGGATAAGTTACCGTGGTAACTGCCCAGTCTGCTTCCTGTCCCCATGGTTGGGTACTCCGTGGATCTTCCTGCTACCTGTTCGTCACTGATTCCCCTGAGGATTGGATGACAGCAACGGTGGGGTTTTCTGCATAATACTACAAAAATAAAGCAGATTTCAATTATGATAACAGGTCTTTTTTAAATGGATGAATTGTGAAGATAATGAACAGTTATCATGCTCAAAAGCCAATTTAAACAATATTGATTATGAGCAAAGCATACGCAGAGATCAGGTACCATTGAGACGTTAGCATCCCCTGTCGACTTGTCACACCCGCCGTGTGCTTCTTGTTGTGATTTGGTAAGCGGAAAAATCCATAGACAAGAGTATGAAAATAACGGCCTAATTAATTTGTATGAAAGACGTCAGTCAACATTCGACCAAACGATTGACTGTGTTTGCACGCAAGGTCACTGTATCAACCATAGAATTTCAAAAAGATGACTATAGACGAGATTGTTGATATTCTTGTATCATCAACATATTTGTCAGGCCTGAATCCTTCCAGAAATGATTGCAAAGAAACTGTTCACATTAATTAATCATGCAATGGTTTATTATTGCATAAAAAAGGAATATGATAATAGAAAAAAGGAAGTGATCAAGTTTATCATAAAGATTAGTTGTTATTTATTCATCATTGTCTTTCTTCAGTAAAACGTTCAAATATGAAACAGATGTGTCAAATTCTTTGGTGTCTTTTATTATATGGGATATATCGAATCGATATAGGAATGAAAATGTATATAATTGTTAATTGATGAAACGCCGTCGATATATTTTTATAATGACCTTGTTAACAAATATAACCTTTCATTAGGTCATATAATAACTAATGTGTCTAATTACAATTATCATGCCTATGCTTTTTTCTTTTTATTTACTAAATTTGACTTCGAAATGTTCCGTCTACCTGATCAATATCTCACGACGAGTTTGACCGGTCATCAGGGGATCCTTTCTCCACCAAGGCACCTGATCCCACCTCTGGAATTGACAGCGGTCCGTGTTTTATGCCCTGTTCGTATATTTTTAAATCTTACAGATTTCTTGAGTTTCACTGTTGGTTATCTTCACCTTTTTCATCTTAATGTGACGAAGCAAGAGACTTCTTCTTTTTATGTAGTACTTTCTGAATAAATTCAGCTTCTTAAGAAAACAGAAACAGGATATGTATTTGTCTATCATATTTTTTGTCGTCTTAAAATAAGGGGAAAACAATACTCCGATTTCTTTTTTTTTATATATAATAATGAAATGTACTTATCGAATGCTACCCATTCATCCAGTAGATATCACTAATTAATTTTTCTTATAACCCACACTATCTTTGTGATATTATATCAACAGATATTGCAATGGAGCGAACATTAGTCATCAAGAATAAAAAGTTACCCCCCCCTCCCCCTCCGACTAAATTATTTAGAACCATGTGGTTAAAGGAATATCTAATGGTTTGTGATTGGTCAAAGGCTCTGGGATAGAAACAACACAACTCTTTGGGTAGTAATGATATCCAATCACAAACCATGGGTGATCTTATATATATTCTTTCTTATAATTTCAGTCTTATTGCAATATTCTTCATGCAAAGTTGGTGGAAATTGAAACTTTGGCCGAGGACGAATTTCTTCGCTTGCATCTATTTGATAAAAAATTAACAGGTTTGATTAAATTCATTTTCATGATCATTCTCAAAAGTCCATTCAAGGTAAAACAAAGAGAAAATCCCATGAAATCTGTATCAACTTATTTTAAGAACACATCAGAAAAAGAATAAAATCACTACAATGTCAATAATCAATTACCTTTGTAAGAAAAATAATAAGTTATGACATGTTATAAATCTTGTAAGAAATAATAGGCATCCTAATATATTGGTCATAATGGAGCCTACAATTTTGAATGTGTTTTTGTCATCTACATACATAAGACCGTCTATTATTAAATGTAAAGTAACGTTTGATCCACTCTCCATTCTTCATGTACGATAAAGGTCAAGGTCATATTAAGAGGTCAAATATTGTGACGCCATCTATTAATTCTTTTATTATCTGACATAGTTCAATTTTCCTCATTTTGACACATTTTAATCTAGGTTCCATATTTATGGCAAATCACAATCACACGGAAATCTTCTTTATCATTTATTATGGCGATTAGAGGCAAATAACAAACCCAAAAGGGTTAACGATCACAAAACCACATCGGCCAAGATATTCAGAATGTTTTAGGATATATTCTTATGTGAAAATACTGTCACTTATACAATGAAGAAAACATCTAAAAAATAAAAGTTCTTTAAAATTAAAATTTTACATTCTGACATATTCTAGAGAATTCTTCGTAATTTATTCAAGTAACATGTACAACATTCTAGATCATACAAAATTAAAATTTATTCACTAAATTTCCAGAAAAATTCTTCAAATTGCCACTGTTCGCAACGATTTTAATTATTATTATTTTTTTGTTGTTGTTGATTTTTTTGTAAAAATTGAATTATACTTTTCTCTTAAGAGATCTAATATTTACATGTAAATTTGCAATACTCGAACTATGTATGTTCTATTTTCACATCACATTATACTCAAATATACCAGTATCAATATATTTTACTGAATTTTAGTAGCATAAAGGAGATTTTTATAAACAGCATCACACAAGTTTATAATAGATCTAATGGTAATTTTTAAATAATGCGCATTCGCAAGTCTACAGTCTGATTTCAAAATCTTCTTACAGGGGTCTGATAAACCATATTTCAAACTATATGGGCAAGACATGCATATTTGAATTTCTTTCACATTACATATAAAGAGAGATTTTGTATCCTAGACTAAAATATCAGTTTAAAAAGAATTGAATTTGAGGAAAAATTTGGCCTATATATTGTATACTACCTTAAACAATTATACAAATTGTGAGCAAAGCCATCACAGACTTCTGAAAACAAAGGTAGGATCAGGTGCCATGGAGGTAAGCATCCTCTGTCGACTAAGAGACCAGGTCTCCAATCAATCTGTTGGACTTCTCATGCGTCATACTGTGCGACATTATTAGCAGACCTGTTTTATATTCTTATAAAGAAGAATTTATTCAGAATCGTGTACATGAAAAGAAAATCCTTGCTGTGCCCTATAATTCGACATTTTAATATATCGACTTGATCTCTGTCTTTTGCTTACCCGTGTTTTTTTTTAATACAAATTGATTTTAAAAAGTTAGGTCACTATTTCCCTTTAGATTTGTCTGAGAATTTCTGCATTTACTCGATCAATAAAAAGGGATTTTGCGGGTATGTACGCATTGAGCGGTCGACTGGTGATGCATACTCCTCGAGTACTCCACCTAATCCAACCTTTGACCTTGTAGGGACCAGTGTTTACTATGCCATCAACTCGTAATTTTTAATTGGAATTTTGAACTGTTCGTTATCTTTACAATTCATTTCAGGTGGGTACTGGATTGGATTCTCTGATATCGTGGTTGAAGGAGAATGGATATGGACGTCTACTCAGGAACCCCCAACATACAGCGACTGGTACCCTGGCCAACCGGACGATTTAAAACATCATCAGGATTGTGGACAGTTACTGGGAGGAAGTTTCGGATTTCACTGGGATGATGAGATATGTACTAGGACTAATAATTTCATATGCGAGAAAGAGTAAGCTTTTCAAAATCCATTCAAATAAGGTACACTGATATGTATCAATAAGTGATTTGGATAATTTCATTATTATGTATCATGTATCATATTTTACTGAAGATAAATTGATTAATCTTTTTTCAGATTTAATGGTGATATCGGCATTGTTGGCTGAATGCAGTTATTTCTAGGACATGTACGTAGGTTATCAAAAAAGTAAATTAAGGCTAAAATATGTTGTTCTTGGTTCTAATTTCTTGCCTACATCGCCTACGAAATGATGACTTTAAACGAGACTGCTGATATTCTTGTTTCATCAACTTGTTTGTCATTAATTTACCTCATTTTAGAAATTGTACATACGTAGAGCATACTCTTGCGTATCGAATCAACTGAGAGATATAAACCCCGTGTGCAGGTGATGAAGGTATATTGCTCCATAAGTAAGGGAAGTTGACGATTGAAAAGTTAAAGTCATCACGTTTATCATAAAGCTTAGTTGTTACATTACAATTAACGTCTTTTTCAAGTAAAATATCCAAATATGAAACAGATGTGTCAGACTCTGTGGTATCTTTTACCTCAAGCTCATCGGGATATATCGTATCGACAAAAGAATGGAAATAACCATTGTTAATTGACAATACGTCGTCGATATATCTAAATGTCGAGTTGAAGGCCACAGCAAGTGTTCTCTTCTTTTCACGTATAAGGTTTTGGACAAATTCTGCTTCATATAAAAAAGGTCTGCTAATAACGGAACGCAATTGGTACCCATGGGAATTCCAATAGAATGTTGGAAGACCTGGTCTCCAAAAAACCACATAGATATTGTCAATCAGAAACTCAAGCATCTTTTTAATGTCAACTTCAGAGTTATTTTGTGTACAATCAGAATGATTTTTAACAAAACAATTTTGCAAATGACCAATGACAAGGTAAGTATATTTACGAATTCCATTTTTTTTTTGAAAAAGCAGATGTCAATGATATCAAAAAGCCTGCACTTTAATTTATCTTGGAGAATGGTTGTGTCTAAAGTTGAAAAGTTGTAAGTTTTTAAGCTGTTGATTTTGGTAAAATCTCGTGATTTCAAATTTTCAAAAAGTCCCTTGGAATTTTGAAGTATCCACATCTGATTTACACCACTTCTCGAAAAGTACAGTACTCTTGAAGTTGCTCCTTCACTACTGTTAATATTTTAGTGAGGAGTAAAGAAAGAGGCTTGGTTGAACATTTACTGGAACCCGCTTTGTATCTTTGTTTGTAAGGATTTTTATGAAGTTTAGGAATCCAATATAGATATGGTAATTCAAATTCATTTTGGTTGTTTGGAATATTAAAAATATTCAAAACTGATCTTATGATTTTGAAGAATTTCTTCCTTAGAAAGGGAACTATGAGTATAAGTTGGATTACCACTTGTAGAATTAAATCCAAATTCCTCTAAAATACATTTATAATGAGCCTTACAAACAAAGACAATGTTGTTACCTGCTTTGTTAGCAGGGACCAGTACGTACTGATCATGTAACCTATCTAATTTTTTTTTTTCACTTGTGGACTATTGAATACAGAAGGATAGATGGTTCTCATATTGCCCCTCAATCTTTTAATGAGCAATTTTAACATATATCTGACACATTTAATCCATTCTGACAAAGTGTCAAGGTCTTCTTTTTCATGTCTGGCCCATCGCCTGGCGTAATCCTCTACAGAATCCATATAATATTTATGAAATTCCTACGCCAGTTGAAGGTTCGGGGTTCCCTATATTTAGGACCTTTTAAAATTAATGATCTAAGGATCTTATTATTAACTATATTTACATCACCAGTAATAACGTGTCCAGCAGGACTATAGTTATAGGGTGAAGAAGAACATGAACACAATGGAGGATTATGTTTCAGATATTCGATATAAAGTTTTCTTGTAATTAAAAAGTTTTGAAGCAATAGTCGATGTATATTTGTAGGAAATACAATGTGTAGTCTTTAACTTGAAATATGGTGGAATACAAGACTGGGACCTTTTGTTATTAAGAATATTACTTATATTAACTGCGTCAATTATTTTGTTGGCATATTGAAGTTTAAGAAAAAAACAGATTGTTTTAGCTGCATTTTTTTTCAGTAAAACGTGGGGGTTTAAAAAGTCTATGATTGCAATATCCATAATCACAGATCCGAGCCTATATTCTGGTGTCGAGGAATCAAAAATGGACTTTCTATTGACCTTTTCAAGAAGACTATTAAAAATTTTCGAATGGACAGAGTAAAGTTTGGTGTGAATATGATGTAGACCTAATTATTGATTTACGTAAGGTAGTAATGAATCAAAAGAGACATCGTGTATTAAAGGTTTATTGTAAGACCGATGCCCATGACTACGCTTACGTCTCTGTGTATGGTTAAAAAGTCACATCACATTTACATTGTTACACTGTGGACTGGAAAGATTTCCAACACTATCGACATTGTCATTACATCCATAGGGAAAGGCTGTCCCTAGTTTTCTAATCCAAAATTCTTCTCGTTGTCTAAGGAAAGGTGTACTCAGTGATGGACTGTTTGTGTGGTGGTAAATCTTTTCTAGAATTCTAACTTTCATTGACAAAATAGAATGATCAGGTAAATTAAAATGCTTGTATAAAAGCTGCTGACCCCCATTATTTATATGAAATCTATGACTTGATATTCTTTTATTAAGTGATCCCTTGGTTTCACCAACATAAACAAATCCACAAGGATTCCATTCTATTCTGTAGACAACATTAGAAGATTTGAAGTTCAGATTTTCTCAAGTTTTGGTATAGAAGCTCTGTCCAGTAAGATTACTGGTGAAAGAAGTTTAATTTATCAAAATGTCATTTCATGTGATAAGTGAAAGAAAAAAACCCAGATTGATTGAAATGTTAGAGTAATGTTAGAGTAAATTGCAAGACCAGATATAATCCATAATCTGATTAACAGTATAAAATATTTTGAGTCAAGCTGTCATGAGCTTCTCCATAAATGATTTCATAGTACATCAAAGACATACAAGTTAATCGTGAACGTTTCGTGTATTCGAGAAGTGTAGAAATCAAACAAGCTTGAAAATAGTTAAATTACAGTAACTATGAGAGTGCATTAAATGAAAGCATTAATTCATCATGCGATTAGCTTGCTTGGTTTATTTACAGGCTATTTTTAAACCAGGAAGTCTTATTAACCTTTTAAATTAGAGAGTCTCATTGTACCGCGGTATTGGAATACTGGAAGCTTGGCGCTGTCATGAAGTAAAAGAACGAGTACACTTATCATGCTTATGGACCCCGGTAAAATGTTAAAAAATGAAGAATCAAATTAAGCATAATTTTTCATCTCCAATCATCAATTGATGTATAAATCAAAAAATTCAACAAATTTTATCGCTGAAATTCATGTATATACTGAAGCCGAACTCGATTTTGGATTAACCTCTTTTATTAGATAGAAACAGAAGGCAGCCTGTAAAATTACAAAGAAAATTCTAATTATATGTAATGAACTATTAAACAAAACAACATTCAAAAATATCTTACATTGATGTCACATTATATGCATCAAGATTCATATTAAAAATATAATAAGTTACACAAATATTGCTAGGACAGGTCAGGGTTGTGTGCCCACCTAAGTAACTATAGTAATATAGGGTAACAGCAGTTATGCTGCAAATATATATCAACACTCAAAATGATCATTATATCATTCACTGGATAGTGTTGTTAATCATAAATACACAAAGCTACTTACACACAAATAGTGAACATTATAATACATTCTTAATAGAGCACAACCCAACTGGTGTCTATAGTTTCCTGTCATAAACAAATTATGTGTTTATTTAACTACCTAACAAGGATACTGATAAATCACCATTCTCAACCTTCCTAGTTTAGCACCTCATAATACACACTGTATGACTAGAAAGCATAATCATTAACTGTACTTGAGTATTTAATAAAGAAAACATTACCATCTTGTCAAATATCAAACAAGTAATCATTATAACTACGGATTTCATCTTTCATCTCAAAATCAGCATGTAAACAATGCAACAGGAAACTCTATTGGCTACATAATTACTGAACCTAAATTGAGACTTTAGTATGAACGGAAACGCAGTTTCTTGAAAACCTAACCACGTTTCTGACATACAAGATAAATTTACAAAAGCGATACAAAACTTATTTCCAGTATTATATAATCAATAAAACAGCTATAAATAATTTATGTCAGTACTACTAAATAAAAGTATTTCTACAGATAAACATCAAACAACCCAATGGTGAAGCTACCGAAATGGCGGGAATACACAATTGTGATAAGTGTATACATGACATTATTCAAAAGTTACAGATGCTTTTTAATGATTAATCTTAGATAAAAATATGTGATAATACACATTTAAATGTAAGTACACACTTGTGGAGTCGCCCAAGTGGCTCAAAGTAGCTGACACTACATCAAACAGAACGGCACATGGCATCTATAGGTTACTAGTTTAACGTCATAAAGGTAAATGATAAAACAATATGTAACGGTAAAGACACAAAAATCCGGAAATAATAATAATATAAATGAATACAATAAATTACATGCATGTACATATATTTGGGATCAGGATAACCCATGAAAGCTTCACAGCTTGTTTCCATTGGGGTTCTTAAAAATATCCAATGGGTTTCTTAAAAATATAAATTGAAAAAAATAATTAATCAACAATTATTTAAATTTAATAATTTGATTTAATCTAATGATTTGCAGAAGTTTTTTTTAACTCAACGTTACTTATATAGTTTCAAATGACACTGATAACAACAAAATCAAATTGCCTACTTAAATTGTAATTAAATACTTCACCCGTTACATCTAAATACTCTTTTGTAATTCAAAATTGATAAAGGAACTAACGTAATATTTACTCTGGGTTTTTTTTTTCAAATACAAGCGTGCAAAAATTCTTAATTTCATCACTGTGGCTACCAGTACTTTACAACTTCATTAGATTTTTTATCATAGATGAAATACATAATACAATGAAGCGCATTGAAGTCGTAAAATTCTCCGTTTGAATGGAATGTTTTCAGCTTTCTTTAGAACGTTGATTGTTATATAATGACACGCCTATTTCTTTAGAAAAGAAAAG